TCCATTTATTCATTGTTGCACTTATCTCCCTGCCCACCTCTCCCCCCTCAGTTTGTTCCTCTCTTTGAAAAGTAAAAGAAAAATTCTTTCATTGTTATACAATCTCTCCCCCAAAGTCCATTCCACTGTGCAGCCTTCGCTCTGGACTCCTGTCATGACAATAATACCTGATCACATATCCCTTTAAACAGTTCTCTCCCTCATCTCTTTCAGTGCAGTTTACATAATTTATCCCATCTTTCTCAGTCTCCCCCCAAGCCCGATGTCAGTCTCATTTTACAACAGTGGCACTATACAGTATTTGTCCTTTTTGTGACTGAGATATTTCACTCATCATAATGCCCTCCAGGGTCACCCACTTTGAATATTGCGTGAGTCCTTGTTTTTCAATTGTGTGAATATACCACAGCTTCTCTCTCCATTCGTTTATTGATGGGCACTTAGGTTGTTTCTAACTCCTTGCTATTGTGAACAAAGCCAGGATAAACGTGTGTGTGTATTTATTTATTTATTTGGGTGATAGTTATGGTCTCTTTGGGGTATATTCCCAGTAGTAGAATTGCTGGGTCAAATGGTATCTCTGTTTGCAACTTTTTGAGAAAGCACCATACCGCCTTCCACAGTGGTTGCACCATTTTACACTCCCACCAACAGTGAATAAGGGTTCCAGTTTCTCCACAACTTCTCCAGCATTTGTTTCTTGCTGTTCTGTTAAATTTTGCTGTTCTTACTGGAGTGAGACGACATCTCATCGTTGCTTTGATTTGCATCTCTCTTACAGCTAGGGATTTTGAACATTTCTTCATGTGCTTATTCATCTGAGTGTCTTCTTTGGTGAAGTGTCTGTTCAAATCCTGTGCCCATTTTTCAATTGGGTTGCTTACCTTTATCTTGAAAATTTATTTCTTTTTAATGAAAAATGGGGTTTGTGTGCTAGCATCTCATGGCCTGATTATTGTGACTTTAGAACAAATTTAAAGTGTGTCATTCAGAAATGTATGCTTTACTTTCTCACACAGTAACTATGAGTAGATGTGGTTGTTATGTGCTCTCAAGTCAGAGCCAACTAACTCATCGCTGACCCTCCAGGGGGTTTTCAGAAGCTGCAGATGACACAGGAGAAGATTGTCACATCTTTCTACCAACGAGCAGTTGTGCTGTGAATTGGAACTGTGCACCTTTGGCTTGACAGCACAGTCCCTTACTACTAGACCATCAGAGGTCCCTGTGAGTCGAGTTCTCTAAACGGAAGAAATCTGAGCTTGCAGTTAATGTAAGAGTGGGAAGGGCCCCACAGCCACTGTTGTCGATTGTAGACACAGCTGGCCCCCCACGCCCTGACGTTTCCACAGTGAAGCTGTTCTGCTGATCTTTTTCTTTCTGTATGTGGAATAAATTAAGTCCTTGTATCAAAGTCATTGCTCTTAGAAATCCGGACTACAGTCTTTCTGAAATCTCTCAACACTAAATTTCCAAGTAGACGTTTGATTTCAGGAAAGAAGTACTGCTGGAATCTGTAACACAGAATGCCTTAAACTTAGTAATCCACAAAGTACGCCCGTGAGTATCGGACAGTATTAGCAAATTTGTCCTTGAATCCACTCTGTCCTTTAGTGTAAACCCCCTGCCCCGTGCTTATCCTGTTTTAAACAGGAAGGAATGATGCGTATTTTTACGTGCATGCTTAGCTCAGGGACAGAATACCTCACTATTTAAAAAAGAGGGAGACTGAAAGGGAGAGGAGAGGGAAAGAGGGAGGGAGGGAGGGAGAGAGAGAGACACTGACACTCTGTTTTAAAGAGGAGTGTTTGTCCCAGATTCCGTTACCCAGAGGGAGGAACCCCACTGATGGACATCACGGGTTCCGTCGGCTCCTAAGAGGCTTCATGTCCGGCCTTTGGTGGTCAGGGGACCCCACCCTGGCCGTCACCACCAGCACTGGGGAACCCAGAAAGCAAGCGAAGCATGAGCTTCCTTTCTGATCTGTATGAACAGTTTCACACTTCCCACCACATCAGAGATCTTGCTCTCCTCCGGGGAGGGCTGGCTTCCATCTTTCTCGCATCCCCACAGCCCCCACCTATAGAGTCACGTCACCTTTCTTCAGGCACAGAGCACACAGGTTGACGTGAGATCACTGACACATCTGAAGGGGACAACTTCACATGCTACTCAGCACATCACTTACATGACATGTTCCCCAGTGGACAAGTAAGCAGACACCAAGGCCAAGCTTACCGTGTTTGCCGGGTCATCCACCCTGACTGTGGTGTTTCTAGGTACCGTCACGTTTGTGCCACCTCACAGGGACCCCAGGCACAACAGAATGAACCTGCCCCTGATTCTGTGCTGTCTTCACAGAACCTGCTGGGTTTGAGCCCATTGCTATAGTCTCTGTGTCAGTCCCCTGCCTGAGGGTCTTCCTATCCTTGGCTGACCCTTTGTTTCTCCAATCATGATAAACCTTTCAAGGACTGGTCCCTCCCGGTAACATGCCCAGGTCTCAGCATCCTTGGCTCTAGGAGTATTCTGGCTGCACTCCTTTCAGAACAGATTCGTTTGCTCTTAAGGCAGTCCGTGGGGTAGATTCAGTATTTTTCCCCAGCACCACCATGCAGAGGCTTCAATTCTTCTTCGGGTTTACTTATCAATTGGTCCAAGTTTCCCATACATACAAAGTACTGAAAATACCATGACTTGATTTAGGTCATAGGTGTTTGGGTGGTTCCCCCCCCCCATAATTGTGATTTCAGTAAAAGTTTACAATGTAGAGTTGTGTTTCAGTCAAGCATTTCTACACATACTGTTTTATAACATGAATTACAAAACTCGTCATGTTTAATCATACTCAAAGAATGAGGCAATGGGATTGTAGGGAGACACAGCACCAACCTGCGTTATGCAGCTGACAGCCCCTGCTTGCACAAAGTGAAGAAGACTTAGGGTACTTACTGCAGAAGATCAGAGACTACAGCCTCCAACACGGATTACATCTCAGCATGAAGAAAACGAAACTCCTCACCACTGGACCGACAGGCACCATCAGGACACCATTGAGTCCACTACAACGTCAAGTGACCGCAGGTCAGAATCTCGCCCTGCCTTACGCTGTCTTCGTGACTTCTGACACGCTTAAGCTCCGTGTCACAATCATTGGACTGGTCCACCGTGGTTGCACAAAAACAGCCTTTTCTGGTTTGCTGGCAGTCTATGAGATATCATGATAGTAGTGGAAGAGTTTGAAGTTGTCAAGGACTTTATTTTATTTGCATCCACAGTCAACACCCGTGGTAGCAGCAATCAGGAAAGCAAAAGACACATGCTCTTGGGGAAATCTGCTATAAAGGACCTCGTAGTACTAAAGAGGAAGGATGTTAGTTTGAAGACTAAGTGCAGCTGTTTCATTTACATCTGAAAGTTGACCAGTGAACAAAGAAGACCAAAGAATAACTGATGCCTTTGAACTGTGGTGTTGGAGAAGAGTATTGAATATTCTGTGGACGGCAGAAAGAACACACGAGTTTGTTCTGGAGAAGTACAGGGGTGCTCCTGAGGGCAAGAATGGTGACACCTCATCTCACAAACTGGACATGCTGCCAGGAAAGACCATCCCTCAGAAAAAGACATCCTACTGGAGAAGGTAGAAGAGGGTGCAAGGAGGGAGGGCCTGCAGTGAGGTGGCATGACACAGTGGCTGCAGCAGTGGGCTTGAAGGGGATGGGGTTATGAAGTTGGCAAGCGTCTGAACTACTGTTCATAGTGTCAGGATGAGTGATAGTTCAAAGTAAAAGTAACATCAACTTCCTCTCTTGTCCCTGGTAACCATAGTCTCTAAAGTGGTATCTTTGCTCTCTGGCTCTTTGAAAAGGTCTTTAACAGCAGATTTGCCCAGGACAGGGTTCAGATCTGTTGTTCATAGGGTCACTATAAGTCGTAAGGGTCGTACACCTCTACAGTGCCTAACAACGACAATACATTACTTGTTTTTGTTTGGGATTTTTTGGGGGGTTTTGGGTTTTGGGGGATTTTTTTAAGTGGAAATGTGGAGTCATAGAGAAGGTAGAGAGTAAGTAAGTCCCCTGTGTGAGCTGGACCACCAGCAGCTCCTCTAAAGGACAGAGCCTCTGTGCACATCCTGCGGCCACATTGCAACACTGTGGCCTGGGTCATGCAGGGAATCCAGAGCATTGTAGATTCTTTTGTTGTTGTTCTCGGCTTTTGTTTTTTTAATTCGTTTACCCTGTGTTTCTTTATGTGCATGTGTTTCACACAGTCATTCAGACACATTGCATTTTATACACTAAATTACTATTGATCTATGCTCACACCTGGTTCAAATTGGTTTTTGTCAAATATTCTTCTAGGTGGTATAGCACTGGTCTGTGCATTGCTGTACAGAGGTAACTCGTGGTTGCCGTGATGCTAAACACTGTGACACTGATGTGTCAAATGCAAGAATGGTTGCCCATGGTGGACAGTGTTTGATGGCGCTCCCCGATTATAACAAGCTTGGAAGCAGAAGTGGCACCCACTTCAGAAATGGCTTACCTCTGGAAAGTCTATGAACAGTGCTCAGGCCTTTTGTTCATAGGGTCGCTATGAGTCGTCTGCGACTCGACGGCACTTAACAACAACTATGGCCGCTATCAGCCCGTCTTCTCAAGTCCCCGTGACTGTCTCGTAAACTCTGCTCATCCCGTGATTCCCACCCCTCCTCCTTTCAGACATTTATCCACATTTCAGTTATCCTCACAGTTTTGCAGTGATGGTCTTACGCAGTATTTGTCTTTATCATTGGATTTCCTGCCTGCCGCTTCCATGGATCCGAGTAAATGAAATCCTGGGCAGCTTCAGGCTTTTCTCCATTTGCTGTGACCCTGTCTGCTTTGTGCCCTGACCACAGCAGTGATAAATGAAAGTGAGCAGAGCCGACGAGTGGGTCGTGGGCCCAAGAGGACTGTGTCCACTTCTCCTGTAACGGCCCTTTCTTTCCCCCTCAGGAACTTGACCGGTGCCTTTCCCGAGTATCCGAAGGTGGAAGAGGGAGGCTCAGCCATCATCTTCTCTAACAAGACTCCACAGGAGGTAGGGAATCTCACAGGACAGACGTGAGCGTGTCATCGCCTCTCTGCACTGTAAGCCGATGGCTCCGTGAGGCCGAGCTTGTCTCCTCCTCCTGGGCCTGCAGACCTTTGCTGGGAAAGGGCCCTGACTTTCCAGAGTCATTCCTCTTTCCTTCCAGCATGAATTCCTCTGTCCCGCTGTCCTTTGAAAGGCACAGCACTGGGCAGTGGTCTCCTATTCAGTCAGTTTCTCAGAGGTTGACTTCGGGACACTTTATGTTCGTCAGGAAGCCTGGTGGCACAGGGGTTTGCCAGCAGGACTCTGTAATCAACATGCTTCTCTCTGGGAACATTCAGCACACACACACCAGGTGTGGAGCCCTGGTGGCACAGTGGTAAAGCACTCATCTATAAATCAAAGGGTTGACAGTTCAAACCCACCAGCTGCTCCAGAGGAGACAGGCGACACTCTGCCCCATAGAGATGACAGCCTACAGTGCCTGCCGGGGCAGTCCACCTGTCCTCGGGGTCACAGGTTTGCACTCGCACTCAAACGGTTTGCTCTTCACAACTAATGAGAAGGTTGGAGGTTTGGATCCCCCCATCGGCCCATGACAGGCCTGCTGTGTTTCAACCTAGGTTATCACAGCCACTGTGTCATCATCTAAACTAGAAATAAGAAAACTGTTAACATGTACACTTTCTGAGTCATCAGTGTTGCTTGATGAATTGTTTTCATCAGAAGTCAACAAACTTTTCTCACAAAACCAATATTCCCTATTGCATATTCCATAAAGCATGGTAGTTCAGCTGGAACCAGTTCAGACCAGACAGCACACAGTAACAACAGTGAGTACTGGAAAAGTTTGCCACATCCACATTGCTTAAAAGGTGATAATAAAACCAGCCCAATGATAAGATTCTGTAATAAGGAGTCCAGGTGGCATGAACTGTTGTTGTTGTTGTTGTTGTTAGACTCTGACCACAACACCCCAATAGAACTGAACGCTGCCTGACCCTCAGCCGTGCTCACGGTGGGCTCTGTGCCCGAGGTCGTTGTTCCAGTCGCAGTGTCCATCCATGTCCTTGGGGAGCTGCCTCTTTTTCAATGACCTGCTACCTTTCCAAGCATGCTGTCCTTCTCCCAGGACTGACCGCTCTTGATAACATACCCACAGTGTGGGGCCCGTTCTCATCGTCCTTACTCCTAGGGACCCTTCTGGCTGCACTCCTTGTAAGACAGACTTATTTATTCTTTTGACAGTTCACAGTATATTCAACATTGTTCTCCAACACCACAAGTCAAAGGTATTACTGCTTCTTTGACTTCTTTATTCATTCTCCAGTGTTCACATGCACGTGGACTGACAAGACCCTGAGCAGAAGTCCTGGAGGCCAGGGACGCCCACCTCCACACTGTTGACCCAGTGGTCAGCCTCCCTGGCTCACTGTCCTATGCTGCTCCAGCCCCCAAGGTCAAGCACAGGGGTCTCTTCCTTTCAGCTGGACACCACCCTATCACAGTGGGCCTCAGCTCCGGGATCCTCAGCTTGTCGGCCGGGTCCCCTGAAGCAGCAGCACCTCCAGCTGCCCTGTTGTCTGGCCTTTCCCCAAGACCTTGAACAGCGCCAACTTCACTCTGGTGACCTCCCTCACTTGTGCCTATCGCGTTCCGATCGCTCAGGCGAAATCATCAGGCGCAAGTTGTGTCTTGACAGTGTAGCCAGCAGCCAAGCCTGTTTTGTGCTTGTTTGGAAAGGTAGCAATTACAAGATGAAGAATGTTGCTGGAATGTCTAAATTGCTCACGAGAGCGTGGAAAAGGGGAGTTGCCTTCCAGTCAAGCTGAAAACAAAAGAAACCCAAAGATGTTTGGAGGTTGTGGCCGTGTGCTGCTGTGGGGTGGGGTCCTGTTCACAGTCACCCTTCAGCAGAACAGAAGAAGCCTTCCCCGATCCTGCGTCATCGGGTCCCGCTCACAGCCACCCTACAGCAGAACGGGAGCAGCCTCGCCTGACCCCACGCCATCCTCACGATCTGACTGGGCCTGGGCCCGTGGTTCCAGATGCCGTGTCAGTCCATCTCCTCCTCGTGTCACTTTCTCTCACTCAACCTCTCATTGTCAAAGCTCTGGGGACAGGCCCTTTCTGATCACATGCACAGATCACATGAGGTGAAGTCTGACCATCTCTGTGTCTAAGGCGCGCCCTGGCTGCACTTGTTCCAAGAGAGATCTGTTCTCTTGGCAGTCCGTGGTATGTTCAGCATTCTTAATCAACACCGTGCTTCAAAGGGGTCTCTGTTCTTCCGTCTTCCTTCTCCATTGTCCAGCTTTTAGATGCACAGGAAACAGCTGGAAATATCATGGCTCAGGTCAGGCACACCTTAGTCTGTAAAGTCACATCTTTGCTCTTTTGTATTTTAAAAAGGCATTCTGTTTACCCATATTAGTTTGCCATTTGATCTCTTGGCTGCTGCTTCCAGATATTTGGTGGTTGTTGTTGTTGTTAGGTGCCTTCGAGTCAACCCTGTGAGCAACAAATCTGAGTCCTGCCCTGTGCTGTGCAATCCTCACCATCTGGGACACCCCTGAGCCCATTGCTGCGGTCACCATGTCGGACCATCTCGGTGGACATCTTCCTCTCTTTCCCTAACCCTCCACTGTTCCAAGCATGATCTCTTTTTCTGTGGAATAGTCTCTCCTAGCAGCATGTGTCTGAAGTCTGAGAGATGAAGCTTTGTCATCTTTGCCTCCCAGGAGCTCTCCACCTGCACCCTTTCCAGGACAGCTGTTTGTTCTCTTGGCAGTCAGTGGGATACCCAGTACTCTTCTCCGACACTACAGCTCAAAGGCATCTCTTCCTTAGGAACCTCTCCAAAATAGAGCAGTGATGTCAGTTTGAAGACTAAGGTGTGCCTGGTCCAAACATGGTCTTTTCAATTACTTGCTGTGCATCTGAGAGCTGGACAGTGAATAAGAATTACAGAAGAAGAACTGATACTCGGTGGTGGTTGTTGATCGCCTTCGGGTGGAGTACGACTCATAGTGACCCTGTGAACAAAAGGCCTGAAGCCCCTCTGCAACGACCGACATTTCTCAAAGTTCATAAGAGTTTCTGGAGGCATGTTTCAGAAGTGGATCATTCCAAGATATTTGGTTCGAGTGTTAAAATACATCAGGGACCCACAAACCAGCAGAACTTTAAAGGTGGAGGATGAGGAGTCGGTAAGCCCTGTGGTTGCGTTCCTGTAGGCTGCTGTGGAAGTGGTCACCGCGCAGAGTGGCCTGCCGTCTTTTTGGAAGCAGATTGCCGGGTCTTCTCTGCCTTAGCGTTACCGACTTTTACGTTAGCATCCGGGCATTCCAGCACTGCACCACCAGGGCCCCTCCTGTTATAGCCTAATGGTTAAGAATCACAGCTCCAAAGGACAGAACTTCTGTTTCCACCCTGTTCTGAGTCCTTTTTCTTGTCTGTAAGTGGATACACCCTTCCCCCCACATTGAGGCTGTAATTTAAGGTGATGATACACGCAGTGTATTGAGGATAGAAGGTGGAACTGAGTCAGAAAGTCTGAGCATTCAGTACAAATGTTAGCGCCAGAAAGGACAACAGCAGTAATAGTAGTAGTTGTACTCTGAAGACTCAGTACCCCAGGTGTAATCACTGCCACAGTGTGTGGAAATGGCTAGTCCTATGTGTGTAGAAAATTCAAAAGAATGCAAATGTGTTTAGGAGAGCAGAGCAGAGCCCTGACAGCAAGCCCAGAAGAGGCTGCATTCAGATGGAACCACAGACTCTGCTTCCTTATGAGTATGAAGGCAAAAATGCAAAGAGCATGTTAGCACAGCACTGCAAGTGGTGAGTTTCCAGCATGCAGGACATCGCCTGGACAGATGCAGTGAGAACAAACACAGGTCAGCACCGGGCTTGCTGAAGGGGCAGATTAGGAAACTCAGCATCCAGTCTTCCTCTTCAAGAAAACACTCACACAGTTGGATTAGAAAGAGTCTTCTTTAACATGACAGAAATTTCTGGTTGGGGTCAAAAGCTAGTATCATATTGTGTGTGATGGTTGTGTGTCCACTTGGCCGCCCAGGACCCTCTGGTTTGGTGCTTCTGGTGGTCATTCCCCGATGGAAGGCAGTGTGGTTACCGGTATCCTGACGGGGCCTGATAGAAGGGAACCATTTTCATGATGAGTGGGACCTTGCAGAGTGCAGTGGGCCTCCCCTCAGTGATGGGGGGGCCATGGCCGTGGTCACTCAGTCAGCCAACAGGCAGTTTCCTTGGGGGCATGCCTTCACAGAGTGTGGAAAAGTCCTCTTGCTTCTGCTCCATTTGAGGCCCTCATCTGGCTTTTCACCTGCAGTTCTTTGGATTTGGACCAGAGACCTCCCTTACCGCTGACCTTGACCTCAACAGCACTGAAGCCAGTGCCCTGTCACCTAATCTACTGACCTTGGTTTTTTCATCCTTAGCAGCTACGTTTGTTAAGAGAAAAAACCTCCCTCTTTTGCTCTCACCTGTAGACCTGGGACTTTCCAGCATCACCTAACATCAAGAAGTCCGTGAGCCTTCCTTGAGGTCAATACCTCTCATAGCTCTCTCATCCATCTCATACACTTTGAGCATGTCACCAGAAAGGTCCAGTCCTTGGAGAAGGACGTCATGTTTGGAAGGGTGGAGGGCCGACGTAGGCGAGGAAGACCCTGGATGAGATGGGTTGACACCGTGACTGGCCGTTGGGTCAGGTGTGTCAGAAATGGTGAGATGGGCTTAGGATAGTGCAGAGTTCAGAGCTATTGTTCAAAGGATGTCTATAGGTCATGGTTGACTTGATGGCACATAATAACTATGTATATATATATTGGAAGCAGGAGTGGCATCCACTTCCTAAGCAACATGCCTCTGGAAACTCTATGAACTTTGATAAATGACAATAGTTACAGAAAGGCTTCAGGCCTTTTGTTCAAAAGGTTGCTATGAGTCGTGCTTCACTCGATGGCAGTCAACAACAACAT